ATAACACCTCGTAATAGTTGCCAGGATCGACTTTCTCTTAACCTCGGCATTGGAATATGAATGTGGCGCTTTCTTGTTCAGCAATCGCGAGGTTTTTAAACAGCATACATTTACTTCCATAAAAAACACAATGCAATACAACACTGGCTGACGTTTCGGCAGTATCGCCTTCTTCAGAGCCGCTTTTTCGTGACTTCCAATGAGGAAGTCGACAACCATATGCGACTATAATCAGCTGTTCTAAACTTCCTCATTGGAAGTCACGAAAAAGCGGCTCTGAAGAAGGCGATACTGTCGAAACGTCAGCTAGCGTTGTATTGCATTGTGTTTTTTATGGAAGTAAATGTATGCTGTTTAAAAACCTCGCGATTGCTGAACAAGAAAACGGCACAGTCAATAACACCTCGCTTTCTCTCAACAAAAATACGAAGAATTATTTGAGATTTATTCGTCAAAATTGCTCACAGGGAATAGTACTCTTTCCATTTCAATTTTGCGAAACACATTTAATTCCTACAGCGATTTCAAATAAGCATTTAACAATAAAAATGCTGAGATATGAGCAAAACTCGGGACCTTAAGTAAGCTTCGATCCGGCTATTACTCTTACCAGAGCTCGTGCACTATCCACCACACGAACCGAGGCCCTTGCTTTGCTTTTCTCTCAGCCGGTTTTTTACGCTATCTGTACTATCAGCAATTGCAGTCACCCAGAATGATTTAACTAGCACAATTCAGCATTGAATACAGTAGGCTGATGCTGAAGCCGCCTTCGAAATCACTGCGTTGTCAATAGCGATTTCTAAGATTAAGTTGGACATACGAACCTTTCCCATCTGCAGTACCAACTGTCTTCTTTCGAAATGCTTCAGAGAAGCGTGCTATGATGGGTAGTATCCCATCAACAATCACCAGAATCATACAAACAATTGTCACTATGAACAAGCTTATGAATCGAATATCGTCCGAAGCATCGCTGTAACAAACTCGCATCAAAGACACCATCATTCAAATGAATTTTAAAAAATGAAGGCTGCTCAGACTTCACATGTACCTTTTGCATATGCAGCAATCTAGTGGATCACAGAGTGATACGAGCAGATCTATGAAATTCGCATTCGGTTTTTTCGTACCACAAAGCTATAGGGCACGATTTTGTTTTCCGGTACGTATGGGTTAAATATATTGTGTTGCGAGAGCTGTATTTGTAAAGGGATTTGATAGATGTATTTCAGGCTTAAAGCTGTTCTTTTACTCAAAACCAGGAATACAGTGTGGGCAGCTAAGTTGTGTAATGAACTCTATGAGCAATATCGCTAGAGATGATCCTAATGATTATGGGTGGGCTGAAACGCCGCTTCCGTAGGTCAGAAGTAACGTCGTCGTTGACAGAAGGCTTAGATGCCTTGCTGACTGATTGTGAACGAAAATAGCACGTTTAATGTTAGTTGTAGATTTCAGCACCTGCTCCCCGTTAATATAGAAGAAGTTTTTCTTGGAGATCTTTTGCAACCCATGGGCTGTTACGACTACCCTCTAAGTAATTTTAACTTGATAACTTATATCGATTTGTAGCTGTTAAAAAAAGATAAAAAAACAATAAAGCTCTCGGCGTTGATCAATCCCTGAGAGATGAGACATACATTCGATTTCAATGGGCATCGTTTGGAAGTGAATGAATGCATATCTTGGCCTTTATAATGACTCGCGCTGGCCTACTGATGTATCGACCTAGTGGTGCTATCCTTCCAGACGAGTCTGGTACCAATTTACCGACCCCAGAAAGATGGAAGGCTTGGCGGGGCACGGGCGCTGGGATCGATCCTATGTGCGTGTTGCAGGGCGCCTTCGACCAGTGCGCCACACGAACCCCTGTAGATTCTGTTAAGGCTACATATTTTAAACTGCTCATGAATGAATTTCGCAATTGGTGAAAGTTGAAAGCTAATTTTTTTCATTAAGGTTATGCCGAAATTGTGTATCATCACAGAATCTATGGGAAATTGCCACGGTTGATACGCCTTAATAACTCACATAGCGCAATTTTGAACAACCATCCCAGTTGGATCTTTGCGACAAAATGAAATCTAGCTAGAATAAATCGAACATGTCGTCTTTATAGTGGTGCTGTGATGGCAGCATGAATGATTCTGTTTAAATTTCTTGAGGTTCGGTGGCTAAGAGACGAGTCTTAGACGCATGGTACTATGTTACGAAGATTGTCGACTTCAATGCGGTAGTTGTTGTCAATTCCGTGTGAAAATTATGCAGTCTGCTGATTAATTCAGCAATGAGCTCCTTTCAACAGCTATATGCATCCACAGCACAGCTTAGTCGTCCTAGAAGGTAACCGGCTATTAAACCAACAGCGTGAGTCATAGCAGCAGAATACCACATCCGTGAAAATCGACGTGGTGGTTGGTCTATGGTGAAGCCATCCTAATTGAATACAACGGATATCATTACTCTCCACAACTGAAGGCGTATGAAGTACAGAGCATATTCCTCATGTGCAGGAAAGGTATTGATACTTACTTTATTCACTTAAGCTATAGTCGAAGACTATATTAACCGCTTCTATTCCATAAAGTTATTATTGTTCTAGGTCTCGCGATTTTATTAACATTTGCTCAATATTATACGACTTCCAAAATAAACTTTTGGACTTCAGTTATGGCTAGCTTTATAGGGTTCACTATAGCAGATTTAGAAGGGGCATGTCCAAGAAGAAAACTTTGGAAAGTGGAACACAGCTGGAATTTAAACAATCGACTCTCATCAATCACTTTCTTCTATTATACATGGGTATTTCAATTTGTGACATGCAAAAGTGATAGAAGCTATAGAAGTTGTTCTCAAGTATCTTACATATTTATGGGAACTCTACCATGACAAAAATCAATACAGGAAGCGCAGCGCAGTTGTTACTGATGTCATCAATCAGAACGAAAACGCGTGTTCAACATACCTCCAAAGCTCTCCTCCATTCATAAAAAAAAGAAATGCTCATGTAACAGCCGAAATACGACGTGAAATACTCGAACACCATTACCGGCCACGAACGCGAGAAAACAAATCGAACGCAGGTGCTGGGATCCGCCCAGTAGGTGTGATGACGGTCATGTAAAATAAAAAACTTACAATGAAGTCATTGAAGATTGATTCAGTGAGTAATTTTCTACACAGAACATATTATTACTACATTTCAAAAAAAACTAGGTAGCTGCTTGCGCTTTATAGTTGCATGCAAATGACTGTTAGCAACAAGGAAAAAAGAATGACTTAAATACAAGAAAGGTTCTAAAATGTCGTGTTCATACTAGACAGGGTGGTCTTGTAACGAGGTAATCTCACTGAGAGCAGTCGGTTACAGTGATGTTTGATCTTATTTACCTGTCGATATTCTTTCTCATTAGATGAGTTTTTCGCGGGCTATCGCATCGACCAGCCGAATGAGATAGTACCTTGCAGCTCAATGTGCTTCGCACTGCCGTGCCAAACAACTCCACTATAAGGATCCTGGCGATTTCTGTTCCATATACATGTCCCAGCGAACTATCGTCTTTTAGATGACGCGAGGTTCGTATAGATGTTTTTGTTGTTAACCCTTTTATTTACTGCATTTTTCTTTTTAATGGCAGGGTATGTTGCGAAATATAACTTGTATGTAATGCTGAGATATTTGTAAAACTCCGGACCGCAGGTGTGTGCGGTGGGGAACGAACCCGCTCTACTGTCCTTTCCGGGGAGTAGCGCACTTCACCACCACACCATCCGGGTCCGTCGTTTTGCCTGTCTCTCAGCTAGTTCTATTGATCTTTTGCAATCAGCAATCACCCGTCAACGGGATTGATCTGGCGAGCCAATATCGGCACTAGTGCGAAGTGCGCTACTCCCCGGAAAGGACAATAGCGCGCGTTCGTTCCCGCCGCATACAACTGCGGTCCGGAGTTTTGCAAATATCTCAGCATTATACACGAGTTCTTATTGTTGTTGCTGTCTTTGTTCAACAATGGCTGACGTCTTGGCGAATTCGCTTTCCTCAGAGCCCGAACGTATCATATGTAACAGTAGCCTCACAATTTCGTGGATTACGTAGTATTAATGAAAATCCAGCATATGAAAAGACACCAATTTTGAAAAATCACCCACCTTGACGTTGGACTACCCGTGTGTTGTTCATGAGGTTTCTGTTCCAAGATTTCTGTTTCGAGATCAAAGCATCGACACGAGCCTCTAAAGAGCTAATCTGAACGTAGCTGAAGCCGCTGGTTCAGAAAACGGCTTCATTGACGTTTTGATGAAATACTGCTGTTTCAGATTTTTTCTTCTTGACGCTAGGTACTCAGTGTTTCTAGTGAGCACCGTGGATATTTCTTATTGCATGTTTAGATTTTAACAGTAGAATGAATGCGGAAATATTGCAATAGATTTATTTCTTTTAGCTGCCTTCATTTTAGGCATTGATCTAGACGTTTGCCTTTGTAAGTTCGAATAATAAAGTAAATCATTATTCCCACTCCTTGTTCGGCGTTATTAGACTTTCTTTAGTGTCTCTCAGCAAACAAACTCTACTTGTGCCTCTAAAAGCTTAAGTATTGATTAATGGCAAGCAGTCTACGCTTTCAGTTTATCCTTGCATTGTCTCCTAAAAACATTCGTAAATCGTCACTTGACACACTTGGGTTCCAAAGCTTTTGAAACGAGAAAAGTGGATCGACACAGAGAAATCCCGCACGAATTCTCAGGAGTCCTTCATGTTACTGCGATTTTTGTTCTTCTGTTTTATAAGTGACGGCACCAATGAGGTTTAGGTAGCCCACTGAGCGCATTTTCAGCATATTTTGTCGGACAAAACATTAGTTTGTTCTTCATATATCTATCAATTTGCTTTCTTTTTTCTTTACTTGGATCACTCCTTCATTTTCCTGCGCAAAAAATGTTTGTCTATTAGCTTCTTCTCAGAAATGACACAATCTGTCTAGGCATTGAGATCTATATCAGAACGGGTTGGGCATGAAAGGATATAGTGGCAACTGTTCCCATCCTAGTTGTTGTGGGTTTGAAAAAATTACAGGTGACACAGGTGACCCATTTACAATTTCTCGATCACCTTTCACTTGTATCACCTGCAGTCCCGTTGAACGCCGAGTAACTCGAGCGGGCGCAAGTATTCCATTTTTCCTCCTTGCGTGCAAGAGTAGCCCAGTGGGTTCTGCTCGCTCTAGAGACTCGTCGAACATCATATCTTTCTTCAAGGCTTTTCGTGAATAACGCTGACCATCGAGTCGGTGCTCTTCCTGCAGTGCGCTTAACATCCTGAGGAACACAGTCACTAACGGCTCCTGTTTCCATCGGTTTCCATTCATACGCATTACGTGTCCGGTCCACCTCATCTTCGACTGTTTGGCGTACAGAACGGCATCTTTAATTTTTGATCGTTGACGCAGATCGGAGTTTCGGATACCATCCGTTACTTGTGTGAAACGGGATGCTCTTAGCATCGTCCTTTCGACTGCGCGTTCGATGACGCTGCGTGACAAAGCCGGAATTGATCCACGTCTTTTTAATCGTAAACGTCCGAATCGGATTGTAAGTTGTTCGAATGAATCCATGTTCATGGACAAACTCGTGTTGATTAGAACGCCGACACCGCCGACTGCTCTACTGTCGCATGTTCCGAGGAACAGCTCTTCTCCGGTGTCATAGAAGGCGTTGAAAGGCTGGCGTCTTCTCGTCTCGGCCAGGCCGATGACGTCGTACCTTATCCTTCTTGTTTGCATGAGCAAGTCTTCTATCGAGGATTCGGATGCAAGTGCACGTCCATTGTAGGTACAGATCGTCATCTTACTTTTTCGCGATGCAAGCAGCTTCCATTGGCCCTGAGATTTTATTAGCCTCTTCGTACTCGTCCTACTCAACACTGGGAAATTGGGGGCTCTTTCGGGGACAGGGAAATAAGGCTCGTTTTTTTTTACTGTGTTTAGCATTTTTGATACCCACGTATAGCTTGCTGGGCTCTGAACGTGGGGGCTGGGTATACCCACGGGTAGCTTGCCAGGCTCTCTCAGAGTGGATATGGAGCTTATTTGTTGGAGGCGACTCCAACCTGTCTCCCATGTACTTCCCTTTCACTTGATTGCAGGCTTTCCACCGAATTGACTTGTAGAATACAATCAGCATAAACTAGAACGCATTCACACACGCATGCATGAATACGACTAGCAAATACAGAAAGTATGTGCCAAATCAGTGCAGCAAAAAAAGGTAGTCTATCCTCTGGATCCATCTGCGTTTCAGGGAAGCAAAGGTCGTTTTTGGTCAGCGATTAACCCCCTATCCGCCACCTGGGGACGCGCCACGTAGCCTTGCGACTAAGCGGCTCGAGATCCCTCTTATGAGGGAGATCTGTGGACTTCCAAAGGATAGAAATTTTAAATTCAGACAGGCAACGTATAAAGAGCCATTCCAGTGTATTTATGACGTCTGGCTGAAGGTTCTTCAGGTATTCATATCTTGTCTTTTCCTGACTGGACTTCGTGTTGTTTGATTCTTCACTAACGACATTATATGTCGGATTTCGAAAGGGAGTACCGGTGGTAAGACATATCCATCCTCCTTTATTTCATATCAGTAAAAGTGAACGTGGCCACTGAGGAGCTCTGAGTAGTATTCGTGAATGATTTTTCCAATTGCCTTTCTGGACCCCGTAACTGTTTCATCTGGGCGTCGGACTGCAATCATCTTGATCTTTTAATTGGCAAAAAAATTAAATTTCTATGCCCGGCGTAGGGGGTGAAGCCGGATTTTCACTAGTAATTTTCTGTAAGTATAGGGTAGATGAAGCTCACAATTTAACGCAACTCTGGGAAAGACGTTGCTATATCAAACAAAAAATTGATCTCAGGGATTGATCAACGCTAAGAGTTTTTTTTTATGATTAACGAAGATGTAGATATGTATGCCTAGTTAAATTTGACTTATCGTGAAGAATGGCTAAGCCTGTCAATGGATTGTACCGACGTGCAGAAGTCGGGTGCTACCGAGTTAGACCTCGACATAACTTCTCAGAGATGTTTCGTCTTCTCGTAACACCCTATAGGTGCTACTTTCTACTCAATTGATTGAAAGTTTTTAGGTCATCGGCATTGTGCCGGACATAATCTCAACGCACACAAGCACATCTACATAAGTATCCGTCGATATTGACAGCTTATATGAGAAAGTTTTAATCCTATTGAACACCACAGCAGTGATATGGCCTTCAAGATCCTAGCACATGATTTCACCTTTACTTCGTGTGGCAAGCCAACGGGCTACTTGCGGTGTTATGTTAGCCGGTCTATTGTATTATAATACCAATAAATTGTTTCTAAGAGCAAACAGAACTCTAATTTATCTGCTGGCACTTCACGCAGAAATTCCCAACCGACTTTCTGTTAACCTCAGCATTAATTGATAATTCAATGTTTTTCTTCAATTAGCAGACACGAGGTTATTAATATAGAATTTATTAGGATACAACAGCTGACGTTTCGGCGGTTTCGCCTTCTTCAGAGCCGTTTATTTGTTGTAAGCATTTAGGTTAGTTGATGGATAGCAGCCGCACAGAGTAATACATGGGCGATAACTCAGCTTCAAAAAAAAATCAAGATTTTGAAGTAGGAGTCACTGTCCTAACGCAGGAATCGAAAACATCAGTGCGTAAAACTCTTGAAGCGTTTTGGATCAGTTCCAAAAATTCAAAAATCAACCGCAAGGGGGAGTGTCTTGTCATCACGCGTGACCTGGCGCCATACCTCAGGCTAATCCAATGACCTGACACAGACACAGTTATCGCCCATGTATTACTCTGTGCGGCTTCTATCCACCAACTAACTGAAATACAACAAATAAACGGCTCTGAAGAAGGCGAAACCGCCGAAACGTCAGCTATTGTATCCTAATAAATCCTATAATAACGACCTTGTGTCTGCTGATTGAAGAAAAACATCTAATTTATTTCTTGCTTAATAAGCCATTTAACTAACATATAATACTAACCGCTGCTAAATGGATTGTTTAAAGCAAAAATTCTGTTATCGATGGAAAATTAGTGAAGAACAGACCAGTGTAAAAGGTATCCGCAGACTAAAGCCACTTCGTTTATCTAGTAGTCGAATCCACTGGAACGGACTTGATGCGATTGTGAAGACTCACATCACGAGAACAGACAGCAATGAATACTCGGATTCAAATCGAGGCGAAAGTGTCGTCTACAACAAAGATTAGTAAAAGTAGGTAAATAAAAGGAAAAATCTCGTGTGAGCTCATGAATAGCACAAAACACAACGTTGTTATGAATCTCTCATATGGTGAAGTTCATAAATCTGAATTTAAAAATCATATTGTTGAAATGCTATCAATGGGTTTTACGATGCCCCAAAGACGGTATCCGATCCAACGTTTGTTTTTGCTGGTTAAGATGCCATATAAGGCAGCCCCGTATTGGGGGAGGGAGGTGGGTTCAATATGCGGAAGGCTTCATTCGATACCAATGTGTTCTAAACCAAGCCTACCTACCATCCGCCTACAGGATGACGAAATTCGTCGCAGTACTCTTTAGGAAGAAATTCCGTGGGAATGCTGGTGACTGTCTGTGGTAACGAACAAGCCATGTCCAATCATGGCAACCACACTGTTCCAGTCAGAACCAACTTGGCTATTTTGACGACATTCACAAAGAAGACGAAATCCTTTAATGGTAAGTGAACCTACACGTAAGTCCGAAGAACTTAGTGGAATATGGAGACGAGGAAACCCTTCGAATTCAACTAGTACTGAGATTGGAGCGCTATGCAATTTCGGATCATGTAAAAATAAAAAAGAATTATGCCACTAGAAAGTAATAATAAACTACTTCTTAGATCTTTGTCTTTAAACTTTGAGTGGTAATGAACTACTTTCAGACCGAAATTAAGGTCATTTATCATGCATGAAGTTGTTTACTACTGAATAAAAATAATTTTTGATAGGCCTTAAATCTGCCAAGTTTTCATCTAGTGTTATTTAATTAGAGACTAAAGGATGAAGTGCAAATCGAGAATTCGGCGTTGATCAGTTCCTTGGAAGTGCGCCACGCACTTGAATCTATTCGTAACACCGCATAGGTGATTGAATGGGTATCCTACGTATTCAATGAATTGTTGCGACTTACTGATGTTTCAACCCACTGTTTTTATCTTCCCAGAGAGGTCTGCTACCAATTTGCAGACGTCGAACTATGGGTGGCTTGGTGATCAGGGGCGACGCGTGATCCAACCGACGACAAGTTGAGAAAGGCGAGCTAGCTTAACCACTCTGTTACATATAAACCACACCTAATAACACCTCGCGTTTGCTCAACAAAAATACGAACTCTGTTACATAGCCGTTTCGGTTAAAACCTAGCGTAATGGAATGCCCTCGATCTTTTTTTGCATTTTTTGAACTTTTTAAAAATATTCTCCTACTTTTCATTATCACATAATTTTCACATCTTATAATAGTTTTCCTTTTTAAAACGTCTTCTTCTCGAAACTCTCTTTTTGCTCTTCGCTCACGGATAAATTCACGCTACAAAAGCAATGACTTCCGTAGCTTTCTGTAAAATTCTGACATAAAGAGTGGATCAATGGAGCAATAAGGACAACTGATAAATGATGGTTGTTAATGGCACTGATCGATAGAACTAGCTAAGAGGCAGGCGAAACGAGGGACCCACATAGTGTGGTGGTTAGCATCCGGAAAGAGTAATAGCGCGTTCGTTTCCACAACAGACACCTGCGGTTCGGAGTTTTGCAAATATCTCAGCATCATTATAAGTGATAAAGTTTCCGTCGTGAATCAATCCTTGAGAGAGTGTGCCGTGTATTTGATTCCATTCGCAACGCTGTACAGATGTTTGAACGGATTACATCTGGATCTGGATTACACAATGATTCACGCTGACCTGTACCATTGTTTCGATCTAGTGCTGCTATCCTCCCATACGTGTCTGTTGTCAAACTGGCGACTCCAGAGGTGTGGAAGGCCTGGTGATTGTGAGATCAAACAGAAAGGCCTGCGAGTTTTGCGGGTCCCCTCTAACCACTACACTGCACACGTCCGTAATATTTACAGTAATATTTGGAGTGATATTCATTATAGAACTGATTTTCAGTTACTAATTTTTCTCCGTGTGGTGTTCTCTGCTTTTTTTTCTCCAACATTTACTTCTTTCCTGAATATAAAACGTGTAAAAAATCTAGACAAAACAGAGTTAGACTCTTTTTCTGAATGTGAGATTTCTTTTCTTTCCTTATCTTCTCCTTCATTCCTTCACTTTCATTTCCATATTGCGTCGTCCACTTCAACTCGTTGTATGATACTCATAAGG